AGACGTCAGCTGACTTGCCTAAAGGGGTTTGCCTCCTAGGAAGTCATATTATGTATTGATTGATTACACACCAGTGACTGCTAATGTATTTCATTAATAACATTTACAAGCTCACTTGTCTTTTTGCTCTCTGAGGTGTCTGGTGGTTTTCTGTGAAAGCATATCACACTTAGCAAAAAAAAACAAAAGATTTTCTTAACTAGTATTACCAAACTGAATCTTAGTTTTAATGTAATTAAATAAAAGCTTGCTATTTAAAGTAATACTAAGTTTACTACAGCAACGGGCTATTTTTTTGTTTTTTTTGGAAACAGAAAGGGGCATCTATTTAAGGAACTCAGATTTTCATTACTTAGCAACTTATTTAATAAAGTATTTACTATTTATTGAGTACCTACTTTATGCATAACACTACATGAGCTAGAGGCTACATGAGATTAAAATTTCATAATAAGCGTAATAGCTCAGATTTTTTAAAATATTATAAAATGTTAGTAATTTTACTAAGTAGTTTTCCTGTATCATCCTGTTTACTCTTCACAGCAATCAATGGTATGAGGCAGAGACTTTTTTTAAACACTTGTAGAGGAGCAAATTGATGTCCTTGGAGGATTTTAGCGACTTTCTCAAGGTCACAAAATTGTATGGAAAATCCTGCTTTTCATTCATTCATTCATTCATTCACTCATTCAAAAGTATTTATTGAGTCCTTTCAATGTGTTAGTACTGGGCTTGGTTCTAGAGACAAAGTGATAGAGCATATGGAGAACCCTGTCATCATGAAGCTTATAGCTTGGCAGGGAAGGTGGTCAAATAGTGTGATAACTGGCTGGCCACACAAAGTATAGGGTGTTAGGGAGGCACTCAGTGGGCCAAAAGAAATTAGCTGGGTGCAGGGGTGAGGAGAAATTTCTATGCAGGGAGAGCATTGTGTTTGTCATTGGTTGCAAAATTTAATATCACTATACTTAGCTATATAGAAAAACTATAGTTTCTTTGTTTCACCTATAATTCTTATGGTTGGACTATCCCTATGTTCCTACCCACTGTCTGGGAGGGAAGTAAAATTTAGTCCCTTCAGATAGAGTTCAGTTTTTGTTGGATAAAAGCGTGCTAGTTCCTTTTCTCAGATGACGTTCCTCCTCCTTCTTTCCTGAAGGTGGTCCTGTCTGTACAGGATAAGGAATGGCTTATAAGATCTTGTGAGGAGGAAGAAGAGAGTGATGGGTCTCTAGGCTCTAGGACCACATGCCTTTGTCTGCCTGGCTGCTAGGAGCCCTGCTGGCCTCCATGCTAGTGTCTGCATCATTGGACTTCGGGTCTGTTCTCCTCGTGCAAGCAAGGTCTTCTGTAGTTCTCCTGGCAGGTGAAGGTTCACTCTGAGGCTTGGCTATAACACCTATTCACACCTAACCGAGGGTGTCTGTTCTGTACCTCAATTCCCTTCCCAGGCAACCCTCTCTAGAAGCTCCTCAGCCAGATTCTCAGGTACTTTTGAGTTTCTGAGAACTAAGGGTAAGGGTTTGAGGAAGCTCAGCTTGAGCACTTCCTCTGCTTACTCACTCTACGCCTCAGGGAACAACATTGTGGCTCAGCCCAGCCTGGACTGCGGCGGCCTGTCAGCGGCTTCCTCTGGATCATGGAATGACAGTGCCAGGGAGTGTGAGGAAGGGTTCCTTTCTGCCCTCATTGTCATCTCCACTTTTTGAAAGCTCATCCCACTCTCCGGCCTCTTTCTCTGTTTCATGTTTCCACAATCACCCTAGAATTGGAGAGGATTTCCCTCTTGTATCTGTTCCCTCCTATGTGAAACTCTATGGTGTGTCCCTGGAAATTCTCTCTCCAAATGCTCAAGAAAAGTGAGAGCAATTTAGACAAAACTTTCTCAACAGGTAGCCTGGGTCTTCCTACAAATTCCTATTTTTAAATGCTAAAAACTGAAAATTACCTCAGTCATTTTCTTCCATTCCTTCTAGAACAAACCTTAATCTCATCCTAGACAGAGAGATGCCTCAGCAGGCTGAGGTGAAGATCATGTTTTTAGATAGGCAAAAGTGGAAAGCATGCTAATAATTTTGGAGTACTCCTGAAAGTACTTGGAAGTAATCAGATTTTCAAGTACTTTGAAGTTCTCAATTACAGGTGCCAGAGCCCGGACTGAGAAAGAGTGTGGCCATTTACGGAACTGAAAGAAGCTGACCTGGCTCTTACACTACAGGAGAGAGGGTACCTAACAAATGCCAGGGGGTATAAAAAAGGTATCGATCGTTTAGTGCTTACTCTGTGCCAGCACAGAGGACCATAAGGAAAGACCTTCCCAAGGGCTACGGGAAGCCATTGAACAGAGTACTGAGCAAGAGGGTGGCAGGACCATGTGTGCTTTCTGGAAGGGTCCCTCTGGCTACAGGGTGGAAAACGGATGGAGAGGAAGAGAATGAGACTAGATGCAGGGAGTTTGGTAAAGTGTCATTGCAGGAGCCCAGGTCAGAGATGATGGCTAGGATGGGGGAGGAGCAACCGAGATGGAACCTGAGGATGCATGTGTATACCATAGAGCCAGTGCTTTCTGACTCAGTGTAGATGCAGGCAGCGGACACAAAGGACGTCTCAAGGATGAACCTAAGATTTCTGGCTTGAACAACAAAATAGATATGGTGAGTTTCTAAGACAAGAAACTCTTGATAGGACACAGATTTCTGGGGAGGGATGAGGTGGTGGAGCTCGATTTTGGACACTTTCAGGGCTGGCAGCCATCACAGAACAGGCCTTCAGTATCCATGAGCTTATCGTATATTTAATAAGGTGAGAATTTCAAATAACAGGCATTCTACAACCTTTACATTCATCTACAGTCTCCTCTGAAAATTTGATTTAAACATAAAATGAGGACATTGATTTTCAGTGTGATTCTGCAGTCTGTGGCTTACCACATCTATTCCTTCTGCCCTTGAGAAGTCTGATTATGCATGCACCTCTCTCCTCGGTTTTAATTCATATGAAAACCTACAAATCATTTCGGGTGAACTGAATCCATATCCTCTTACCATGGAAAACAGAAATACATGCATTATCGTATATACAAATAAAAGCACTTTAGCATCAGACCTAGGAACACATTTAACTGGCAGAGGCCCTCTTCTAATTGTTCCTGGAAGTCTTTAAGTCAATTAATCCAAAACCAAAGCTCTCATTTTGTCAGCTTTCCAACTTATGACTACCTTATAAGATATCATGTAAAAGGTCACCTTATTTATTACCTAGGTATTTGATTGTAATCTTCATTACTTTGGAGGATATCCCAGGAAGTCGTACTTCTCAAACCCACTGGTTTACCAAGTTTTTCTTTCATGACTGAGAAGCTGTTTAGACATTTGTTTTAAAAATTTTCACCTAGGCTATGTATGCTGTAACCATTTTTTGGAGCAAGAGAATTAATGAATTCATGAGCTCTCCAGTTAAATAGAAAGCTATTCATTTGGGTCTTTTAGAGTGGAGCCAAAATTATTTTCTGAGGAGAGTCAGGGCCCTGCCTATGGAACAGTGAAGAGTGTTTTGTTTTGTGTATGGGTGTTTAATTTCAGGCACAAGTTCTTATTAGTATCCTAACCAGGCCAAACTGTTCAAATATACATCTTTGAACTCAACTAGCAATACAGACTAGCTGTGGCCCTGTTAGTAATCAGGAATTAACTGCCAAACTCAGAGCTGCTTGGTAGCTTTCAAAAGCTCATCTGAGGAAAAAGAAAAGGTACATGTATGTTTGTTTGAAAGATATGCTATTTGTCCATTCCTCTCTATATATATTTTGAAATTTATTCCCAAGATAAGTCAGATCTTTAGAGAGCTACATATGTGGACATTAAGAAATTCATTTCTAAAATTAATCAATGAACTTCTCTTAGCTTCAATTTCTAAAATGCAAAACAAAGGAAGATTCATTCATTCAATGGTCATTCACTGAACAACTAATATCCAAAACTTTAGGTTGACAAAATGGAATAAGACATAGTTCCACTGCTCAAACACCCGTTTATCTATCTTTCTAAGTATCTTTTTCTATGACTAAAGAGATAATTATAATTCTATATGATAAGCACAATCATTGAGAAATACACAACATACAGAAGCAAAAGGAAGAGCACCTTAGCCAGCCAGCGTGCAGGGGAAGGAAAGTGGGAGAATGACTGAAGGATATTGAGGTGTCTTGGAATAATTATGCCCACCTTCACAGGATTAGTGCAGTATTAGTAGGGATCAAATGAGAGGAGGTGTGGGAGAGCACTGTCAAAGCGGGGAAATAGCTACTCAGATGAAGAATAGAGGTATCGGCTTGGCAATGACACGGAAACTCCAAATGGGCTTATTAGTAAATATGAAAATGTATTATCTCACATGACAAAAGGTCCAGAGGTGGGGCAGCCTCCAAAGTTGGTTGATTTAGTGGCTTGATTATGTCATCAAAGACCCTTGCTCTTCCCATCCTCAGCTTTACCTTTTTCAGGGTTGGCTTACCATGTGAAATGGAGCACCTCAGGACAGAACAAGGTGGCTGTAGCAGTTTAGGCATCATAGGAAGACACAGAGGGTCCCGGGGAAGACAGAGACCGTTTTTTCCCTTGTGTCTCCTTCTTAGGAGGGAAAAAATTTTCCCAAAGACTTTTGAAGGTTTCCCCTCACACCTCAAAAGCCTGGATTTAAGCACATGCCCATTTGTAAAACAATTACTCATTTGGGGTGCCATCTATGTTAGAGAATCAGCCACACAATGCCACAGTGGTGTTATGGGCACAAGAAGTTAGATGACTTGAAAGAAGACGTTCTTTCTTCTGAGAATCTCTCACTTGCCAAATTTTAAAAAATCTCTGCACTTTCTACTATAAAGGACATACAGCTTTTCCTCTACTTTCAATGCCTAGAAAGCAAGGTGGGTGGAAAGGGATCAAATCATACTATACTACTCATTTTGCAGCCCAAACTCATGCATTTCAAACGAAACTTACCAAAGTCTACCAGTTTAACTCCTCCTTCAGTGGTCAACAGGATGTTATTTCCTTTTACATCACGATGGATAGTTTTGTTGTTATGCAAATGTTGAAGTCCCTAGAAGATAGAAAATATTTCTTTTTATTTTATTATTTATCCTAACCCGAGGACATGCTTATTGATTTTAGAGAGATGGGAAGGAAGGCGAGGAGAGAGAGGAGGGAGAGAGAGAGAAACATTGATGTGAGGAACATTGATCAGTTGCCTCTTGCACCTCCCAACAGACCAAACCTGCAACCCAGGCATGTGTCCTGACCAGGAGTTGAGCCTGTCGTGACCTTTCGGTTTATGGGACGCCGCTCCAACCAACTAAGCCACACCAATCATGGCAAAATATTTGTTTTTAAAGAAAGCATCAAACAAAAGAATATTTTTAAGATGGATGCATTTGTGCAAAACCAATTGGAAACACAGTGAAAATTAACATTCAAGCATTCTTAAATGTTTAATAATGAATTAGTCATATCAAATTACATCATTTCCATTTTGGACTACATAAAAATTCCTAAAAGTGGGGCATACCCCTAGTGCTTATCAGCTATTTTATTAAAAATGTGTTGATCTCAACAAAAGAAAATGTTCTATGAATTTATGTTAAATGGTGGCAAATAAAAGCCTTACTCTTAGCAAAAAATACACATAATCTACCTTCATCATAATCACAATCTCAGAAATATACTTAGAAGATCAGAACTCAAGGTGCTGCTGACAAAAGGAGGGTAGATTTCTAATGGAAAAAAGAATTTAGCTATGCTAAACATTCCAGATTTTGCACATACTCTTGCATCAATAAATACTAATGTAGTAATATTTTTCTAAAAATAGGATCCACATTTTTTATTTAACTAGAACTGCCTCATAAATAATGCACAAACCATTGAAATTGCCTTACCATTAGTGCTTCACGTAAAATATAGGCAATTATGGGCTCATTCATTCTTTTACCCTTTTTCAGAAATCCTTTCACAAGATCAGTCACTGATCCTCCATTGCACAGCTATAAAAGAATATTTCAAGATTAATATTAAAATGAATGTGGCATTTTAAGTACTTGCTATAAAAGGTTTCCCCAAAACATTTAAAAAATTGTTCCATTTTTTGTTTCAAGTGACTATTTTCATCATCCTTTTGGTTTCATAGATGAATGAACACATCCTTTGTGCCAAGCATATTCTTTTTTTTTTATTTTATTTTAATTTATTTTTTCAAATACATTTGTCTCTGCCTCCCTCCCACCATATACTCTTAATCCATTTATAATATTATCTCTATGACTCACAACTCACTGAAATAGGTATTATCACCTCCATATTAAAGATTGGAAAACTGAGGCACCAAATAATAAAGTAACCTGCAGAGGTCACCCAGCAGTGACAGAGCTAGGATATGAACTCAGTCTGACTGCAGAGTCAATACCACAGTGCTTAGTGATCATCCCCCAATATGCTTCATGGGCTGGCTGGCTGATCTAACCACCATGTAAGATATGTTTCTATTTAAGAAAGTTTTAAAATCTAAACATGAACTTGCAAATGAACAATTAGATGGCACCTCATTTATAACTAGTGTCCTTCTACATTCAAAGAAATTTTCTTTCAGCTTATACAGGAGTAGATACTGCCCTAGCATTCCAAAACCTGCATTTTCTTCCCTGTCAAGAAGGGGGAATGCCCTCTGACTGCATAGGCAGTAGAGGGCCCTGCCCTGGCAGTGCAAAACCGTCTCAGCATAATCAGCTCATGAAATGACTCAAAGCTGACTGAAAAGAAGTTAGAGCCCTTTAAATTGCAAGGCATTTATTTAAAAGAACCAAGTTTCAAAAGAACCAAGTTTCAAGATCAGTTTGAGAATTTCTAAAAATCACTGCAGAGACTAAACATCTTTTCCTGTTTCTCCAAAGTGTGCCTCTCTGTGGCTGCCTCTTCTGTGGTTGACTGTTATGTTAATGCAGAATAAACAGCTAGACTGTTGCAGGGAGAATAAAAGAACCCCCCAAAATGTGCAGTAAATAAAATTTTTAAATGAAATATAAGTCCTAATGCAATCATACAATTTGCACTAAGCAGTTCAAATTTTACTTCTGGATATCAGTTTTTACTTAAAACAGTTATTTTTCCTATCTGTTAAGGTTTAGAATACAGAATTTTTTATAATATACAGTAAGGGATATTGAAGTATAATTTACATATAATAAAATTCACTCAACTTAGTATACAATTCTGAATTTCGACAAATGTATTGGGTTGGCCAAAAAGTCCGTTTAGGTTTATCCATAAAACAAAAGACACATTTTTCATTTTCACCAATAACTTCACTGACTTGGATGTTTTGAGTACGTCGGCTGTCTCCTGCTCTTGGCCTCTAGTGGGTAGAGGCCAGGGAGCTGCTAAATATCTCCCAATGCATAAGACAGCCCCACAGCAAGTAATTATTTGGCCAAAACATCAACAGTACCAAGAAACTTCACAAACCACTTTTGTCACATTCAATCAGTCACAGCGCCTTCTCCATACACTGCACAAATCTTTTTTTGGGTGTTTCAGCTGTGTTTTTACATTTCTTGAAATAATAAAGTATAATATGCCAAAAGTGTTGCATATTTTCTTCCAATTTCAATATTAAATTGGCTGCACAAAAATTCATTAATTCTGATTTAAAAAAAAATACATGCTGATAAGACAGCTGTCACAATACAATCTAACAAAACTGTTTTGAATGAAGTTAAAGACAACTAAGCACTGCTAGAGCCATCTTACGGGAAAAAACCAAAGGAAATTTTTGGCCAGCCCAGTATTAGTCCTGTAACCACTACCAACCCCAATCAAATTAGATAAAATAGATAAAAATGTTAATCTATACAAGATAAGATATCGAACAAATCCATCCTGCAAAAATCTTCCTTTGTCTCTCTTTGTAGCCAAACTCCTCTCCTGGCTCCTGGCAACCACTAACCCATATTCTGTCCCTATAGTTTTTGTTAAAGAAATTGAATGATAAGTGTGCAGCCCATTAAATCTGGCTTCTTTGACTTAGCATAATGAATCTGAGATTCATTTACATTGTTGCACCTTCCTTTCTAAATGCTGTTTTAATAATATTGTTTGCGCCTTTTGTGGTGTTGAATATTCCATTAAATAGATAGACCACTGTTTGTTTATTCATTCACTAACTGAAAGATACTTGAGTTGTTTCTAGTTTTGTGCAATTATGAATATAACTACTAAACATTCACATATAAATTTTTATGAGAATATAGTTTTCATTTCTCCTGGGTAAATATCTAAGAGAAGGAATGGCTGGATTTGATGGGCCATGTATTTGACCTAAGCAACTGCCAGAGTATTTCCCAAAGTGGTTATGACATTCTGTATCCCATAAGCAGTGTATGAAAATTTTTCTTCTATATTTTCTTGAGGAAGTTTTATAGTTTTAGGTTTTATAAATAGGTAGTTCTATCATTCATTTTGAGTTAAATTTTGTAAATGATGTGAGGTTTGGATTGTATGTGGCTGTCCAATTATTATAGTACACTTTTCTACTAGTCAAAAATTTCCAAGAAACAGATAATATAACTGAATTGAGTTTAAAATCTAGTTGCCAACACCAAGAATAGGGAAGCCTTAAGTGTATATTATTATACTTATACAGGAGTAAAAGAAGGCAGCCTGAAAAGGCTACATATTGTATGATTCCAACTATTTGACATTCTGGAATGTTCTTTTTTAAAAAAATTTTTTGTTTATTTATTTTTAGACAGAGGGAGAGGGAGGGAGAAAGAGATGGAGAGAAACATCAATGTGTGGTTGCCTCTCACACGCCCCCTACTGGGGACCTGGCCAGCAACCCAGGCATGTGCTCTGACTAGGGATTGGACTGGTGACCCTTTGGTTCACAGGACGGAGCTCAATCCACTGAGCCACACCAGTCAGGGCTGGAATGTTCTTTAAAAGAACAAAATTGAAGTATAATTTTCTTAAACCATAGCTACACTAATTAAATAACAGAGCAGCACTGAAAATGAACTCTACTCAAGCTACAGTCAAACATTTAAAAAAAACCCACCTAAACCAAAAAGGATAATATTCCATAAACAGATCATTATAACTAATTTCCAAAGTTAGCCTTTGTAATTTTTCTAAATGTATTCTGTCTTTACCATGTTAGAAGAAGATATGAGATTTTTATTCAAATTTCTGAAAAAGGACTACTAATTCCTTCTTGGCATTTCTGTTTTTTACTGCTTTTCAGTTGTTTTTGTTTATTCTAAGAATGCTCAAAGGCCATTCGTTTAGTCCATAGTATTCTATGAAAGACCATAGAAATTCTTGTTTTCTAATACTCATTCTAGTTTTTACTTTGCTTATTTTATAAAAGTGGTTTCAACATTCATGTTTGTCTTTTGTAAAAACTAATCTTTAGCAAATGCCCAATAGTAGAATTTTGTATTGTATGATAAGTGTATGTGAAATGTTATAAGACTGCTGTGGTGCTTCTAAAGTAAGTGCATCATTTTACCCTGCCTAAGCAATGCGCAAAAGTTCAATTTAACTTGCAGCTTCACAAATCTCGGTATTAATAGCATTTTTAATTTTAGCCATTTTAGTTGATGTGTACTAGTAATCTCATTGTGGTTTTAATTTGAACTTCATTAAAGACTAAAGGTATTGAATGTGTGTGTGTGTGTGTGTGTTTTGAGAGCCCAAATTTTTTGCTCACTTTTTAAAAAAATTGGGTAAATGCACTTTATTAGGTGAAATTTCTGTCTATTTCTAGTGTCCTGAGATTATCTGTCACAAATAGGTGTTGGATTTTGGCATATTTTTCATGATTTTCTTCTCTTTTTCTTAATACAGTGAATTATGTGATGCAGTAAATGTTAATGTGTAACAGACTTTTTTAATGTTTTCATAAACTAGTATTACTGGGATCAATCCCATTCAGTTATGATGTATTAACATTTTCTATATGTTACTGGGTTTGATTTGTTAAGGATTTTTGCATCTATTGTCATGCAGAGTGTTAAAATATAGTATTCTTTTTTTGCAATATCTTTATATTCTTTTGTCAGTATAATACTGGTCTCACAAATGAGTCAACAAGACTCATAATTTCTTTTTAAAAGATTTCATAGGATTTTCTTCCCCAGGATGGTAATGTAGACACATCCTGGTGGTGAAGAACTCTGTAGATCCATTCTCCAGTGAAACAACCATAACTGGTAAAAATTATAAAAATAAACAGCCATTTAAAATATTTTGAAATTTTATGAGGTCATGTAGCAAGTGATGAAACATTCAAGAATAAAACTAAATCTTAATAAGAACAGCAGGAGTCTGGGACACGAGAGCCACTCTATTCACCTCTGACCAGCCCAGTGACAGAAACGCTACTCCGGAGAAGTGTTTCCAAGAAAATGGGGTTCTCTCTTCCCCCATCTCCCATCCAAACAAAATTGATGAGATATGTGAAGAAACAGGAAAGTGTCATGCACACAAATGGAAAAACGCAGGCAACAGAAGCTGCCTGTGAGAGAGCCCAGATATTAAACTTAGCAGACAAAGACTTCAAAGTAGGCAATATGATGAATATGTTCAAAGAACTAAAGAAAAACATGCTTTAAGAAGTGAAGATATGATGTGAATGTCTCATCAAGTAGAAAATGTCAATAAAAATACAGAATTCATAAAAAAAAACAAAACTAAAGCGCTGGACAGGTAGTCCAGTTGGTTAGAGTGTCATCCTGATATGCCCTGCTTGTGGGTTCCAGTCAGGGCACACACAAGGAGGAACCAATGAATGCATAAATAGGTAGAACCACAAACTGGTGTTTCTGCTTCTTTCTCTCTTTCTCTCCCTCTCTCTAAAATCAATCAGTAACAAATTATAGAAAAAAAATTTTGGAGTTTAAAAGTAGAATAAGGTAAATGAAAAATACACTGGAAGAACTCAACAGTAGGTATGAACTGGCAAAAGAGGAAATCCACAAACTTTAAGAGA